TTCCTGCTAGGGTGCCTCAATCTTGTCTTGGTGGTGGACCACCTAACCCTAGGGAAGCTTTTGGGGAACAAGGTCCTCATAGACATCATCAACCCAGACTTTTTGCCTAAAGGAGAAAACTCTGCAGTACATATTCACAGTGAAGTACCTGCTTGGGGAGAAAAACTGTGCTCCTGACTTCCTGACCCAGTATCTTGCCCTCATGACATCTCCTGACACTTTGGACATATTGCAACAACCCAGGATTGGGCACCCTTAAAGACTCGAAATGGCCTGGTTGGCTGTGAGATTTTGTGTACAGTAATATTTTTTTTATTACTATTTCTTCATCAGTTGGTAGGTACTGGAACTCCCTATATTGTATGTTTAATAGTGAGGTTGTTATTTTAAGACAATATGGAGAGAAACTATTTTTTGTTACCAACACTGTTTGTGTGTAGTGCTTAGTTATTACAGTGTTGTTGGATGACTGCTCTTTACCCATGCATAGAATTATTAATGTTTTGTTGTTTTGCCTTGTACAGTGAACTCTCGATTTAACGGAATCCGATATAACGAACTCTCAATTTAGCAGACCTAGTATTAATGCAATTAATACGCTCACACCTAAGAAGACACCTCAGACACATGATATGTACCCGGTACATATCATGACTTACCGGTACCTTAAATTAGGGGGTTTGGTGATTGTTTTCATTTTTTACTACTATTTCCAAACTTTTTCCAATTGACAGCTGCACTCTTTTGACTTTCTCCCCCACACCGCTTTCTTTCTGAGAGACTTTCAGCATGATGTCTAAGCACAGTAGTTAATTGACCAAGAAGTAGAACGAGGACAAGCGGTGAACAACACAGGTGGTAGCGACAGGATACTGATTGAGTGAATGTAAACAAACCCCACGTGCCAATTGGCATAATTGGGGTGGAATTTAACGGAATCACGCTCAATTTAGTGAACTAGTTCGCTAAATCGAGCAAAAAATAACAGAAATTTGATTTTGCGGAAATTTTTATTTACAGGAAAGGGGTGGCTCGAATTAGTTTCTTTAAATAGAGAAAATACTGTACAGTACACTACTTGGATAACGAGGACCCCCTATATATCGATATTAATTATTCATGGGAAAAATTGGGTTCTGTTCATGAGATCCTGATGAGCCCAAACAAGTTTTATATCTTGCTGCTACAATGATTAAAGTGTCTAAATAACTCCAATAATTTATAAAACACAAAATAAAATAAATTTTACACAATAAATACAAAAACAATAAATTTATATCAAATAAAGACATGAAACAATAAATTTATACACAATTTAGACAAAAACATTAAGTTTATACAAAAATAAAGATTTATTTTCATTTACCTTACACAATATGTACGTGTACAGTAGTACAGTGGTCCCTCGGTTAATGAGCACAATCCGTTCTAGAAGGTTGCTCGTTAACCGAAACCATTGTTTCAATGGGTTTTTGGGTAATTGGTTCCAGCTCACCGAAAATTGACTAAAGTCAACAAAAAAGGTAGAAAAGTACACATACTTTGAGGTGTGTATGTAGAAGGCTCCTGGATGATGATGATGATGGGAATTAGAATGGGGGTGGAGAAGGGAGAAGAGAAGGCATTGGGGAGGAAGAGAAGTCACCCCATGGCGCCATTTCACCCATAAAATTTTAGTTCTCTTGGTGTAATTCAAGATTATTTTCTTTAAATCAACACTGCACTGCATTATATATTGTCAATATGTAAAATAAATCTCAAAATGACCAATAATTTGCTTGTAAACACAGAAAAAAAAGAGTTTAGTTGAAGAGAGTCGCGAGCAAGATGTTACCTCCACTGAAAAGACACAAAGACTGACGCCTGTATGGTGTGTTGAGAGGCCGGATGGCGCGCATAAAACTAGTTTCATTACCTCCAATTATGTTCAATAATTGTTAAAATGACTAAAAAATTTAATATTAAAATTTTAAAATTATTGAATACCGGTAGTATAAACTTCTTGATATTTGCTAAAATGGTAAGGAATTTAAGCCCTAGAACCGATTACTGTATTGGCGGACTAATACTACAGCTGGTGGACTGCCAAATGCAAGTGAAAACATGTTCAGGTCGGCTCGTAAGAAACTCGTTAATCGAGGGATTGCTCGTTAACCGAAGTTAAGAATCTTATGGAAGGTAACTCGTCAACCAAAATCTCGTTAACCGAGGGACCACTGTACTCTGTTACGATCCCCCAGCTGTCAATATAAGTGGGCAGCTGAGGGATCACCAAGATATTTGCACATCACTTTTTCATAGTGACAATGCAGGAAAAGCACTGTGTGTGTGTGTGTGTGTGTGCACACAGGGTAGATCCAGGGGGGGCCCTGGGATTCTGGACCCCCCTTTTCATAAAAAAATTCCAATACTTTTTCTTTAATGCAGTATTGTACTCAAGAATTTTGGTATAGTAAAAAGTAATTGACACTGACCTCAGAATATCTCCTAATATCAAGTGCACATGGCTGGGTGGGCTCGCTGTGCTCGCCATGTTCCCCCACAGAGCTGTGGGAGATTAGTAGGTTTCATGTTACTGACCTGATCTGGTGCAATGTCAGGTGGAGGTTGGGTAGAGGATTAGGGGTCTCATATTACTGACCTTCTGATGCACTGTCAGGTCACCCATTGTTGGGTGGAGGATTAGTGGGTCTCATGACCTGAAGATGTCTTGAATAAAGATGAAAGCTAAAGTATTTTTGAGGCGCGAAGCTGCTAACAAAAGAGTGTACAGTATAAACTTCTATTCGCAACATCTGCTGATTGTATTTGAGAAATAAATTTTGTACCATTGCATATATGGAGATGTGTTCCTGATGACATTATTTTTTACGTATGAAATAGATACAGTACTGTTCATGAAAGTTACAATTATTAATAAGCACAGATTATTATAATAATGTATCTTTACTAATTAATGAATAATAAAAAATATTGTATCATGAATGACAAAATCAGTGAGAGGCAGGAGTCAATGACAAGCACTGATGAGAGGTGACCCTTTGTGGGGTTGGGAGGGGGGGGGGGTCTGCACCATTACTTTTACCCTCCAATGGTCCCTCTCCTTCCCCACTTCCCTTCCTCACAGCATGTTCTAAACTTCTAATTGGGTTAGAGAGATGAATTTGATACCACGATGATCCTATATAAATTCTTCTATGAGAATTTTCCAATAAAAGATCCTTAAACAAAATATTTCAGCCATAATATAATGATGGGGATTCCATTCATTTATTAAAAAAATAAATAAATAAGAAATGCTGATACCAGAATAACTAAAACCAGTTGTAATTAGGTTAGACACACTAATTTTTTCACCAAAATAATCTTGAATACTTTATCTAAAAGTTTGGTTAAATAAATACAGTACTGTATACTCTCGATTTAATGGAATCCGATATGACAAACTCTTGATTTAGCGGAAGGAAATTTTTCCGTTATTTTTCACTCAATTTAGTAAACTACATAGTTCGTTAAATCAAGATTAATTCTGTTAATAACCTCACACCTATGGAGACACCTCAGACACATGATATGTACATAAAACCATTAGAAATATTATTCATGACTTACCTTAAATTAGGGGGTTTGGTGTATGTTTTCAGTTTTTTCTATTATTTCCAAACTTCTTCCAATTAACAGCTGCACTCTTGACTTTCTCCCCCACACCACTTCCTTTCTGAGAGACTTTCAGCATGATGTCTAAGCACAGAAGTTAATTGACCGAGAGGTAGCAGTGAACAACACATGGTGGTGGCAGGACACAGACTGAGTGGATGTAAACAAACCCCATGTGCCAAGCGGTGCATTTGGCGTGGAATTTAATGGAATCACGCTCGATTTAGCAAACTAGTTCGCTAAATTTAACGGAAATAACAGAAAGTTCGGTTTAACGGAAATTTTTATTTAACAGAAGAGGGTGGCTCAAATTAGTTCGTTAAATTGAGAAAATACTGTAGATTTAAAAATAAAAATAAAAATCTATGTGATACGGGCATGAATGAAGCTGTGTTATAGCAAACAGAGTGGTATTTTCCACTCTTCACAGGAAAATTTCACCGAGTCTAAATGATGCATATCACAGGAGCTGTGTTCATGATGCAATCACCACTGTACATGTACAGCATTGTTAATATTGTAAACAAAATAATGTTTACTACTGTACTACTATAATGTATATATAGTACAGTACTCACCAGCAGATCCTCTCATTTTGATCCTTGAGTAGGCAGACTCTGTCCACTCAGCTGAATGTAATACATAACTGTAATCACATCTTGACACTAGTGATGGAGGTTGGGTGGAGGACTAGTGATTCATACTGATCTGACCTGATGCAATATCAGGCCATCCATTATCTGGGGTGGGGGATTAGTGGGCCTCCTTACCTGAAGATGTCTTAAATAAAGACGAAAGCTAAGGTGCTCCAGTGTTTCCCACTTACTAAATGTACAGTACATATAGTATACATATCTGTAATCACCTTTTACATTCTTAACACTGCTTTAACACTGTATTCTTGGCTGATTTTGTTCTGGTACAGTAATGTACAGTACTGCACAACATAAATTGTACACAAAAACAGCAGCTAGCAAGGGATCAACCTTCTACAATGGCAGCAGAATATGAACTAAGCAATCCAAACAGCTAAGCCACCCACACACCTGGGACGTAGGGATGCATTAGACCCAGAACGGAGTGATTTGAAGAGGGTTTCTGTAAATTTTCTCAGAATTTTCCAGAAAATGCGCCTGATTTTCAAACTTGGAAAATCGTCCACAAACCCGGAATTGAGAGAAATTTTCCGGAAAATTTTCGAGCAAATTTTAATTGCAGCTATTGTGGAGTTTCGGCTAAGGGATTCCAGCTAACCGAGATATTACTGTATACATGTAATTTAAAAAAAAAAAAAATAGTAATACACAATAGCTTAGATAAGGAAATGAATAAAAATATTTTCTAATTTTTTTAAAAGTATTTATTAGGTTTTGTAAACAAACATTGGAGGCCATGACCATTGTAAAACTGATCTTAGCCATCGCATCGCAGCAAATGGTGTTAATTTTTAACATCATAAAACTGATCGATCATATAACGGTCAACACCTGTACAGATGCTCAAAGCTGTTACATTTACTAGCACTGATATATATATATTTTTATTTTTTTATCTATATATATATATTTTTTTAGAATACCAGTACAGGAAGTCCTTGATTTACAGAATGCGTACCATTGTTGATGCACGCACGCACGCAAGCATGCATGCGCACACGCACACACACACACACTCTCTTTCAAGATTTACATTTCTTCATGAAGTGTTTAAATATCTAAATTTGAAAAGCTTTCACAGTGGCTTGATAACGTATTAATTAATGTATGTGGAAAGTCACCAACCCTTTCTAATGCCTCCATGTTCCAATTAGTACATAAAATTAGGATATTAGAATGCTAGTAACTGCCTGTTTGCTTCCTAGACCTCAATAATGGGAATGTATGTTCATATTTACCCTCCTAAATCTACCATTCAAATGATAATTTATTTTTATTATGAAAAAAAAGAAGAACTAAACAATTATGGTCCATTTATTATCAGTAAATGATTTAATGTTGTATTACCGCTTTAAGGACTTCGGACACGGTAGGTACGGTTCACTTAACTTTCATAAACAAACTGACGGGTAGATAACTTGCAGTGATGGTGGCACTGAAGGTAAATTTGACTTATGGTGTTTCTCTGTTTTTTTTGTGTCAAGTTTAATTTGAACGAAGTTGAGATTTTTTTTTTTTGCTTGCAGGTCATTTTATATACAGTACTGTAGTTACCTCTTCCCCAAAACTTTACGTAACTAAAGAATCTTAGGCTGTATAACAAACCTTGGTAGTAAAATAAAATTTTCATATAAAGGGGTTCTGTATAGCAAGGACTTCCTGTATATCTTTCTTTTTTTTTTACTCCAGGAGCAAATTTGTTTCATAATTTATGAAGTAAAATCTCATATCTTTTAAATTCTATAATCTGGAATATTTGCTCTAACAGTGCAGCTAGTTAAATTTAACAAAATACTGTATACAATTGGCTGTAATTCATGGTTCTAAGGAAGTGCTGAACAATGGAAAGCAGATGACATATAAATGGTTGGGTAGTTGCCATGCAGATGATGTAGGGATGGTGTCCTTAAGTCACTAATACCTTATTTGTCACTTCTGCTTTGTGTGATTTTCTTCAGGCCCAAAGCAAGATTGTAAGCAAATTTTATATTCATTGCAAATTATCCAATGCAGTCTTTGAAAATGTCCCCAGTAAAGTGAAAAATTCCATCAGGTGTGATGGTGTCTGCTTCCCAAGCTCAGAAATGGGAAGTAACATTGAGGACTAGTGATTTTACCACCAGATTTAGAGACTTATCAATCCAGTGGTGACAGCTTATGCTTAGCAACATGGGATGTTGCATATTATTTTGTGATTTTATTGATTTTTTTATTTTTACTGAGATATTTAAGGAATTTTATTGTTTTGGAGAAATTTATAAGTCGGGCAACATTTTACAATTTATGACACTGGATTGAGAGGCAGCAATTCCCAGGTCAGCTTTCATGTCTCATATGAAGCTAATTATACATTTCATTATCCTTTATTCCTATATTTCATAAACTTATACAGAATTTCTTATTTATATAATGATTCTATAATATACACCATGGTGTGGAGAGATGAGGATGTCATGGAGGTAGCCTCTGGCTAGTGCCAACCAGTGGTGAAGAGGAGAAAGTAAACTGTACACTGTTCTCCAGGACTGCCATTGTGAGTGTTGCCAATTGTGTTACCTGTGTTCTATTCTTGATTTAGGACTAATGATAATTTTCATTATCCCTTGAACCTGTAGTTCTACTTTAAAATAAACTACAATAAAAGAAGTACTGTACTGTATAGTATTAAGCATCCTAATATATATTTCCTCTGTATACAGTATTTAAGAGAATTATTCCATGGATATAATAGTACAGTACCAGTACCTACAATATTACTTTAGTTTTGCCATAATTTTCTGGTATCATCTGTGATATAACAAAAGGTGGCACAGAATTGTAAATTATGCTGTAAAGTGGTTCATTGCGACATCTTAAAATCCAAACTTGAAGGCAATGGAAATTGAGGGTTTCCTGTAAAGCACAGTGGTTTAATCAATGCCTCCAGACACCCAGTACTTTGGGATGTTCTCATATACTAAGCTCGTGACCTTCATATATCACAACAAAAACATTTGCACTTTTGCCACCCGTAAGTATAATTATTGGACATTCATAGAGTAATTTTTAAACACCTTACAAACAGTGACATGACCAAAAATTTTTTTTTTTGCACCACACTGCTGTGAGCCCACACATACTAATTAGGCCATCCAAAGAAAAAATACTATAAAATAAGAGCGTACACTGAATGAGCATTAGACTGGTTCACAAACCATTAAAAAAGAAGATTTAATACTGTCATATGTATAACAAAGGAAAGGATATTTTCATCACAGAAATAATTCAAATCACTTTTCCAGAAAAAAGCTCAGTAAGACGAAGAAAAAAAAATTAGGTACATTTTACTTTTTTAAATTCGATTGGCCTAAGGCTATCACCATTATCCCTTAGAAACTTCAGAATTACTTCATTCTAATAACGATGCATGTTAACTTTTGCTTAAATTAGTTCAGTGGTTGTAGAGTTTAACTCAAAATACATTTTTAAAATGTCTGCTCAGTAAAGATGAAATCCCCAACTTGGAAAAAAAGAGAACTAAAAGTAGGTCAAGATTGATATTGGGAGAGGTTGTATGAAATGACAGAGCTAAGAACCTGATGAGATAAGCTGCAAGAGACTGCACAGTGTGGATCACTGTGAACAGGTAATCCTGGCTGACCGACGTAAGAATAGAAAATGGCCATAAAATGAAGATGAATAATGTTAATAATCTATTTTTAACCTATAACATAGGAATGATTACAACAGGCAATAGAGGAATGACCAAATATGAAGTGTTTCTTTGGTCTTGAAATATATGAGCTATAAATGTCTTTCATCAAAAACAAGCCAAGGAAGAACTCTTGTCATGCTTGTTTTGGTGATGCCATCTAACCTAATGCATGGAGGTGCTGTCTTAGACAATTAAAGTTGAGGTAAAAACTCAACCTCAATATCAGAGCTGTCCTCCATGTCAGTGTCATGATTTTGGCAGGTTCTGGAGAGTAAAGTACTGGCGAGTCAATAATATACACATGTTATCAGGGGCAGATCCAGGGAGGGTTCTGGGGGTTCAGACCACCACCCCCCCCCCCCTTTTCATGAGAAAATTCCAAAACTTTTTCTTTAATGCAGTAATGTACTCATGCATTTTTGCATAGTAAAAATTAATTACTACTGACCTCAGAATATCTCCTAATATCAAGTGCACATGGCCTCAAAATGGCTTCAAAGAGCCACAACTTCGTTTGATATTCCTGGATCCACCCCTCGTTACTGTCACACCAGAATTTCTGTTTGACCCCTCCCAAAAGGCAGTACTCAGGCAATTAGCAAAATTTTAACTGCTCTATTTGCACAACTCAAAAAGTTCAAGTCAGTAATATATGCCAGAGCAGAGATATAAAGGGAAAAACTCATTTGTAATTGCAATCAAGTGGACTTGTAAGTTACTGAATATATAATCTCAAGAGGTGAGTAATTTCTTCAATGGTGGGCTGTATAATCCTCTCTACTAACTCAACCTAAGTTAATAAAAAAGAAAAGAAAAAAGAAAAAAATAATAAAAATACATACAGTATATACACATAAATAGAACAACTTTTTTGTAAAATTATATCACATCTTTTTTTCAATTTATATACAAAATTCCCAACATTAAATGAAATTTGATTCATATTTACTAATTGTGGGCGCTTTGATAGCTTCCCCAGTAAGGGCACCATGGTGTGAGTGTAGGGCTGGAAGGGTGGGATGAGCTCGCCCCACTGTCTCTGCATAACGGTGTTCTCCTAAGGTCAGAATCACGTCAAGAAGGAAGGCACTATTTCGTCGTATAGTAGGAATCTAAAATGTTAAAAAGACATTAATTTATTTTTGATAACTTGGTCATACAATAAACATCAATAAACCACTCATAAATAAAAAGTAATAGAATTTAACCAATGCATCTTAAGAGTGTTGGTTGACTCACAGATGTAAAATATGGCAATCAAATATAAATATGGTAAACTACTCAAAGGAAACTGAATAAGTGATCCTAGATATAAAACAGTGAAATAAGAAAAGAAAAAATTAACAATTCTCAAACCAAAGTCTGAGATAATACTGAAAGGCCAAAGGAGCTGAAATAGCAGAAAACAAGCCAAACTGCAAGAACATATGAAACGTGGGTAATGAAAATCCTAAAATAAATCCCAGAAGCTATGAAAAAACCCAGCAAATTATCAGATGGAGAGGTGATATCAGCACATTTAGAGTCACTTAATGGGCTAGGAAGGCTCAAGACAGAAGACTGGTCAAGCAAATGGGAGGGCATTTATGTAGCAGTGGGCCAATTCAGGTTAAGTGTATGTATATAAGAGTGTGATTATCCTACAAAAGGTGTATATCAGAACATAACTATAAGACAGCAAAAATAAGAGAGAAATGTACAATAAGAGAAAGGTTTTGGATCCTTGGAGAAGATTATAACAAGGACAAAAACTATCATCAATATAGAGGACAAGTGGCAAATCCCTCCTGATCTTTTTTTATAAGAGCAGGAGTCATATAAAAAATGGAAGGAGAAAGCTATAGTGTGTGTGTGTGTGTGTGTGTGTGTGTGTGTAATACAATAAAATGTAGGAAGAGCAGTTAACAGTAAATGTATACAAGTAAGGTTGTCAAGAAATCCAAAGGCTTAAGTGTGTGGTCTCACACAGTGATCAGAAGAAATACCTTCAGGTGTTATGAGCATATGGATAAGATTATGAATTATTGGATGCCTCCCCAAAAAGTCACCAACAAAATACTGTCAACACGTCTGGTAGCACTACTGTACAGGGGCGGTACCAGGAATATCAAAGGGGGGGGGGGGTCTAAGAAGTTGTGGGTGGGAGAACTTGGTAAACACAGTGAGCCTACCCAGCTGGGGGTTTTGATGGTACACTGTAAGCCCCCCAGAATTTTTTGGGGAAAAATAAACCAAAATCATGGGCATTTTGATGCCATTTTGAAGCCAAGAGCACTGGATTTTTAGGAGATATTCTGAGGTCAATAGTAATTACTTTTTACTATACAAAAACCCCTGAGTACAATACTGCATTAAAGAAAAAGTATTGGAATTTTCTGATGAAAAAAGGGGGGCAGTCCAGACCCCCAGGACCCTCCCCCCAGGATCTGCCCCTGCTGTACTACTTATTCAGACATTCGGATCATGTCACAGTGTTTTAGTCTCCTATCCTGTGTTCTACAAAGCAAAGCACAACAAAGTGTTACTTACATGCATGATTTTTGGCCTTTATAAGTTTATGTTGTCTGTGTTTTCTCAGATGCTACCAGACATGCTGAGAGTACTTTGTTGGCTACTGCACATGAGTGACATAAATGGGGATCGAGTACTAGAACGACCGTTAATGTCCTGAAATAAAAAATGAGTAGCATATACAGGTAAAGGGAAGGTAGTATTGTAATAGCATAAGGATATGTAGAAGGTTGGTCATGCATTTCTGTATTGGGTGACCTGGATTCTTCCTCTCATGGTTATCTGCCCCAGAGAGAATTCCTAAAAGGAATGAAGTACAGCGTATCTGACAAAATCCATTTTAGGTGTTATGAGTCATCAGTCACATAAAATGCTTTCATCCATCAAAACAAACCAAATAAATATGATTTACTTCATTTTTGAAAAGAGGTTCAGCTAAAGAAGATTTGCAGTGACGCAGCTGAGCAGAGAAGAGAGCAGTGAGGGACTCATTGATAAGATGCTCTGTCTCAGGCCAATAGAGACGCAATACATCTTCCAGGTACCCCAAGAAGGCCCGGCTGAACTGAATGCTATTGTTAGTTAATCCAACACACAACTCATCTGAAAAATAAGAAGGTCCTCATCAGTACTGAGTACTGTACTCCAATTTTCTTTTCTTGTTTTTATTGGCTGTATTCACAAGATTTTTCACAACACATTCATGGTAACTGAATGATACTATGCAGAAAGCAAAAGCATTATAATAATTGGTATAATGTACATTGTATAACTTTTGGAAAACTCTTGATAAATTTAAGACTACTGTATATGAATGACTGACCATCATTTATGTACTCGGAACAATTATGCAGGCCTATCATCGATCTGCAATTCTGGTTAGATAAGGTTGTAATAAAATCTGGTCTCACTGAAGATGCAGATGTGAATTTGTTTAAGGTGTAGAAGCTACCACTAGCACAACAACCACACTAATAGCTAACAAGTTGTATGACACATTGTCAAGGAATAATCTAAGAAAACCAGAAAACTCGCTAACTACACTGGCTAACCATTCCCCAGAACAAAATCCCAATTCCTGCTGGGTAGACAAGAGGCAACTGGCATAAAGAAACTTGCCTATAGTTTTGTCCTGCCTGATGATTGAAACTGGAACCACTGACTTGCAAGGCAAATAAGCTAATCATTACACCACAGGATTGATTGATTGATTGTGGTACTTACATCTCTGGTGATGCAACAGCCTAGGTTATCTGTCGTCGAATTAAAATAAAGGCTTAAAAGACTAAAATCAAATAATACAAAGTCAAAACATAAGTAATAACATAGAACTTCAGTAAAAAAACATTTAAACCATAATGGATGAAACTCAAAGCTTGTGTAGGCCGGCTTCCTCCACGAAGGAGAGGATGTCCCCTGCCATGCTAGGCACTCGACCCCCCCCACCCCTGGCGTCCTGCATGGCGTTACTCTTACCCATGTGGTCAGATATGCCGAAATTTTCCCAGATAATTTTACATATCGCGTCATTTCCCGAGTTACACTATACTGTACAGAAATACATTCCGAGACCATATCCATACCGAGTTATCGAGGGTTTACTGTAATAAATAACATAGAACTTTCGTAAAACCTATTTGGACGTTAATAAATAAAATTCAAAGCTTGTGTAGAAGACCGGCTTCCTCCACAAAGTAGTAGACGTCCCATCCCATGCTACCCCCTTATACCAATCAATTTTACACGCACATACACACACACATGCATGCATGCACATGCACACACATGCGCACACACATATGGTTAGTTTAATAATACAAAATGAAACAGCTTGAATGGTTGTAAAAATTATTATGCTCCACTGAATATGATGGCAATCAAACTTTTCCCCTCAGGGTTTATAAACAACAAGTTATTTATGTGCTCCTTACCCATTATATATGCCTGAATATTTGCAATTCCAATATCATTCATATCTTCTATGAATTTATTAAGCTGATCTTTATTCTCAAACTTCTGTGTCTTCCAGGTATCTTCTTGTCCTCGAAGCTTCACTGCCTCTATCATCTTGTCACGACCATCACGAATCCACTTTTCCACATCTCGTAGCAAGAGGGTATGAAGAGCGAATGTAACATCTAGACCTATAACTGCCAGCTGTAAGTAATAAATACTGTTCCATTATGGTAAATCAAATATTGTACCTACTGTAGTAACATCAAATAATTTAACTTGGCTTATTAATTTTTTTATACTACACCAATTAAACACTCAAACAAATATTAAAAGTCTTTGGACATAGTAATTAAATGGCTTTCAATCTGGGCAAGCAATCTAATGGTCCTGTGTTTGATTTTCTAAAGCCCCACAAGCATAATTTATAATGATTCAAGAAACTGTACTCAAGACTGTCAAAAGAATTAATATGTACTCTTATAACTACAGAGATACAACTGTTGCCATGTCATCTCAGCTGGGGGGGGATACTAATGTGGTATTGTATCTATGATTATTCAGCATACTGTATATAAATATAAAGCAGTTACATTCATTCAGTCTTAGAGAGAAAAAGTTTAAGGATAAGTACACATTAAGTTTTAGATATAAATGGTAAAAAGAGCAATTTATCTTTCTGTGGATATACTGATTGTACAATATTAGATTTAAATAATGGGCTCTTATAGAACTTTCTCACTTCATGTGTTATAAAGCTTTTTCATTATTTTAAATAAGTAACACATACCAAACTTTAGTTTGTTTGTTACTACAGGTACAGGGATTTCCTTTCTTCAACATGTATAACAATTTTATTGTTCTAACCTGTTGGCAGTGTCGGTTAGCCTGACTGACACACTCAGCCACTGTGGTGATGGAGGATTGAGTGGTGAACACATGACGGGAGAACATAGATGCAAAGTTGTTTATTTCATTGTGAGCCCAAACCACAAATGCTTAAAGAAAAAAGAAATTAAATTAAATTAAATACACACACACACGGGAATTAAGACAGCAATCATTAGGAGTGAGGGTCTTATTGTATGACAAATTTGCGTGTGTGTGTGTAACTGTGTGGTAGCGAATTAAATATCAGTTGTTGAGGAGCGCTTGGCAACACTCATTTCCACTCCATTTTTTTAATCACCCACACCTTTCTCACTCCATATTTTAAAATGTTGTCATGTAATGTTGAAGGGATACAACTTTGCTCATTTATAGTATACTTATCACAATCTCCCGAAAAATACTTTAGGTTTCGTGTTTATTCGAGACATCTTCAGGTTATGAGACCCACTAATCCCCTACCCAAGAAAGGGTGACCTGACAATCCATCAGAAGGTCAGTAATATGAGACCACTAATCCCCCACCCTACCTCCACCTGATATTGGGTCAGGTCAGGTCAGTTACATGAGACCCACTAATCCCCCACAGCTCCATGGGAGTGGAAAATACCAATCTTTGCTGTGACACATAACTTCATTTACACCCAAATACGTATAATTTTTTTCTTTTTCTTTAATATACGTACCTGTATTTATTAAACCAAACTTTTAGACAAACTATTCTGGATTATTGTAGTAAAGAAGTATAGTTTCAAACATACTGTAATTAAAACTGCATTTACCGACTCCGGTAGTTTAGACTTTAAAAGACATCCCCAGCACCCAGAAACATTCTGGGGAAGTGGGCTAGTGTGTGTCTGTGCACGATGTCTAGTTTAGACACCCGGAAACTTTTCCCAGTAATCGGAATAGATTCTGGGGATAAGGAATTTTTCCAGGTTTGAGAAAGTTGTGAGTACAGTACTCAAGTAAATTTATTTAGTTACTGGTACTTTACAACTCTGCAAACATTACACCATTACCATCTTGGGAGAGAGAGAGAAATACTTCTTGATTTACAGTGTATAAGTACCCTGTACAGTATTCAATAGTATGGTCGGGATATATAGCGACTTTATACTGTGCAGGTGCTCCTCTACTTAAGAATGTTTAACTTACAAACTTTCAGAGATACAAACATCATCACTGAGGGGGGTTACCTGCCAGAACAGGTGTTTAATGTCTGCCTTGAGCCAAAATTTCAAGGGACTAAGGTGGACAGACTGCGTGATTCACCCACGCCACCCATGCTGGTAAACAAAGGGATATGCTCAGTCATAAATTAGCGTCGCCCATGATAGCATCTCTTCCGCTCTCTCGCTCCATCGATTGTGTTTTATTGCCATTTAGATGTGCCCAACTTTATTATCAGACTTACTTTGACATTGCCAGTAATGTGATTATGTTGTAGCCTGTAGTAGCATACATATTTTTTGCATTTTTATTGAAAAATTAGACAATAATCATGACCCCGAAGAAAGTATTTGATGTCCATGAGGGTGGTGAGAAGGTTACGGCTAAGACCTTATCAGTAAACAAAAAGTTAAAGGCGACTGAAAAACTAGAAAAGGGTACTACTCCTTCGCAAATATACGCTGAATATGGAATTTCTAAGCATTTAGTGTCAGATATACGAAAATTGAAAGATAAGTTGCACAGATGTGCCATGAAATTTAACGTGGACCAGGAAAAATCTGGCATTAAGAGAATGAGGAAGGTTGGGAGTGACAACCTGGAAGAGGCAGTGTACTTTGTGTACTGTACATTACCTTTATTTATTTTTTTTATTAAAAGACATGTATTTCTTTCCTAAAATTTTTTTTTTTTTCTCTCTAAGGTGGACAACCTCTTATCCCGAACATCACTTCCCCCCAATTAGTCTGCCTCAGTAAGGTTTTACTGTGCTAAATAAATATACAATAGGAATGATATGATTATTGTTATTATACAATAGATTATTGGCACATTACTAATAACATCTTTAAAATCTTACACACAATATTCATTCAACTAAGTAACAAGTGACTACTGATTCAGAAAATATCAACCACTCCTAAAATTTATATTCCTGTTACCATCCTTTGGCTGTTGTGTTACATCAGATATGTAATAAATGATTAGTACATCTGAAAAATAATTACCTGAAGTACAACTGCGATTAGCTGGGAAAGCTTTATTAAATTCTCGTCCAGTCTCCAATAGATTGTGGAAAAAAATTGAGCACAGCTGTCGAACATACAGCACTGTCTTTCCTTCCAAGCGTAACCGTTTGAGGCCTGCTTTCAAGATAGCTCCTCTGTGACCCAAGAACAATTCACAAGCCTGTAAAGATAATATAATTTATGTAAAATAAATGAGCCTAAATACAGTATGTGAATCCTAAATTATTACAGTATTAATAATTTTTTTGGGGGGTGGTGGGGGTAATTATCCCAATTTGAGAAAGAAAAATTGCTACTTCATCTATATCTAAGTGAATTGGAATACTGTAAAAACAAAAAACAAAAAAATTGTTTCAATGATATATCAAAAATTTCCTAAATGGTAGTTCACTTACTGAGGTGTATGTAGAAGGCTCCTGGATGATGATGACATTGGGGTAACACCCCATACCCATAAAATTTTAGCTCTCTGGTTTAATTCAAGATTATTTTCAAATCAACGCTGCACATTATATATTGTCAATATATAAAATATATTTCAAAATGACCAATAATTTGCTTGGAAACACAGTTTAGTTGAAGCTCAAGCAAGATGTTACAGTGAATGACGCCTGTTTGCATGGGGGTTAGGTTCAATCAAAAAATTGGCCGCGAATCGAACCAAATCCGAGAATAACATTTGCTGACCAGGAGAGGGGGACATTTTTACTTGGATATATAACTAATGGGTACATGATTAGAGAATGGAAAACAGTAACATAAATCACCATCCCACAAAGCCTATGTACAGTAAGCCCTTCAAATTCATGGGGGTTAGGTTCTCAAAATGGCCGCGAATCGCCAAATCCGAGAATAACATTTGCTGACCATTTTTACTTGTGTACAAAGAAATTTATATTCCATTTGTGTTTGCCCTTAACACAATTATTTATTTTACATGAGATTTGGGGTAATTGGTTCCAGCTCACCGAAAATTACATACAAAGTAAAATTAAATGCAGTAAAGTACACTTACTTTGAGGTGTATATGTAGAAGGCTCCTGGTTGATGATGACGATGATGGGAATTAGAAGTGGGGGTGGAGGAGAAGGGAGAAGAGAAGGAAGTAGGGGTGGAAGAGAAATCACCCCATGCTTCATGCCGTCATTTCACCCATAAAATTTTAAGTTCACGAGGTGTAGTTCAAGATATATTTTCTTTAAATCAACACTGCACTGCACTGCACTATATATTGTCAATATGTTAAATAAATTTCAGAATGACCAATAATTGTACTGTAAAAATGTAAAAATAGTTTATGTTCAAGAAAGTCTCAAGCAAGATATTACCTCTACTGACCAGAGATACAAACTGACGCCTGTTTGATGAACTGAGTGGCTGTTTGGCGCACCAAAAACTAGTTTCCTGTGCTTCAATTATGTTAAATAATTGTTAAAATGACTAAAAAGTTTAATATAAAACTTGGAAAATTATTGAATAGTACAACCTTCTTGATATTTACTCAAATAGGAACGAATTTAAGCCCTAGAACCGATTACTGTATTGGCGGACTTATATTCCAGCTGGTGTGCAAGCGAAAACATGTTGAGAGGAATTCGTAAGGAATTCGTTAACTGAATTAAATATTCTTATGGAAGGTAATTCGTTAACCGAGGGACCACTGTACTCTGTTGGCTTCCAAATTATTTCTTCTTCTCTACATCCTATTTACCCCACAGCTGCTTTCAAGCATGTAATTTCTGGTGCTACTAAGCTGCCTCATCCTTTTGTGATCTAGACACCATGCCAGATGCCCATACTGTACTGTTACATCAGCTCAACAAATCCACTATATATCCCAGCTTCAAAATCTTTGACACAACTCACTGTCTTCATGTATTTCTCAATGCAAATATTTTCTTTCTCTAACAGTCATGACAACATTACAGCACACACCTGACTTGACTTGTTAAGATGAACAAGTAATGTTGTGGCTCTGCGAGCAGCTCGAGGACCACCTTGGAGAGACTTTTCTGGAGTTACCCGCAATTCAGCCTGTAGTACCTCAACCAAACCTCGCACTCTACCCTCAAGTGCACGCCTAAAAGAGAAAAGAACACAGTATTGTTATGTTATTCTCACACATAAAACTTAATGTTAACATTCTAAATTCCCAAAACTTTACACATTTAACAAGTGTGAATACATTCAATAAACAAGTCACCTTCACTTTCCCCATGAGTTGCAGTCCTAAAAGAGGCCAACTTTAATCAAACAAGTGTAGTGAATACAGGTTTACCTAGATATTTTTTTTTCATCCAGGAAGTAATATAAGTACAATTACTGTACTGTATTTAGACCAGTGAATGTTCATATACTAATTTACAAATTACAACATTGGAAATTATTAAATGAGAGATAAAACAATGCAGTACAATAGTCCCTCGGTTAACGAACGGTTCGGTTAACAAATTTCGGTTAACGAATTACCTTCCATAAGAATCTTCAATTCGGTTAACGAAAAAAAATTTGATTAACGAAATCCTTATGAAAATCACGTTTTGTTGTGAGCATCAACTGATGCTCACAACAAAACATGACATTTGTAACTACTTCCCTGTATTGTACTGCATATATTATCAGTATGTTAAATAAATGTTAAAATGACTAATAATTTTAATATAAAACATGCAAAAGTATTAAATAGCACAACTTTATTGATATTTACTCCATTGGAAATGAATGTAAACATAGAACAGATTACTGAATTGGCAGAGTACCCCATCATCTGATCAGCTGATGCTCACAACAAAACGTGATTTTTGTTAGGATTTCGTTAATTGAATTTTTGTTCGTTAACCGAATTGAAGATTCTTATGGAAGGTAATTCGTTAACCGAACCGTTCGTTAACCGAGGGACCACTGTGACCCGGATAATTCACGGATTTTTATTTCGCGGTCCTCTATTATTTGCGGATGACACCCTGGATGTACCCAAGAATGTCTGCGGGTAGTTTTAAAGTTAGCAGCATTTTTACGGCCAGTACGGGGAGCGTGCGAGTTTTGTGGCGTCCCGCAAGGTGTCTCTCTTGTCCAAGGAGGCTGGCCCACGCGCCCCGCTCGCTCCGCCTCAGCCCAGGATAAACATTTGTACGTCTCAAGCGTTGCTACTCTGCTCTTCGTGCTTGTTATGGCTCCCAAACGCCTTCAACCACCTTCATCCAGCCGCAGAAAGGCACCCAAACAAGAAAGCCTCAGCTTCCTGTTCGTGCACCTCCTCCTCCCGACTCTGACATGGACGACCCTCCTCCTGCCACTCCCAGCTCTGACCTCCCTCCACTCTCCTCTGCCTCCTCTTCTGAAGCAGAGGAGGGGAACTTGTAACTCCCCTGCCTTCATCATCATCATCGTCATTTACATCATAATACTGTATTCATCAGTGGCAACCTAATGTCACAAAACTGTTACTGTAAAACAATGGGTACAACATAATGTTGGTACAACATAATAATAATTCAAAACAACCTGGGGAATGAAGAGAAGAGAGACTCACAGTGATGACCTAAAGAAAAGAAAGACATATGAGCACCAGCTGCCAGTGAGAGAGGAGGAGATATAATGAATGAGAGGGAGAAGAAATAGCTAAGAATAAAAGAATAAAAAAGGCAGGTGAATGATGAGAAGAGAGGATCACAAGATTTATAAAAGCAAAAACTTTTGTGTAACAAAACTAAATAGGATGAGCTGATAGTAAAGGCTGTACAGCACAGTATATCTATGAAGAATATAGGGTTATATTCACAGTACAGGCAGTCCCCGACTTACGACAGGGATACGTTCTAGGACGCTGACCGTAAGTCGATCTGTTCTTAAGTTGTAGCAGTGTTAGTTCCATACAAAACATAAATATTATCCCATACATAACAAATAATGAAAATACTGTAAATAAAGTGATGCTAAACAATACAGAATAATGAAAATAATGTAAAAAATGGAAATTTAATTAAATTTTTTGCGGTGGTACTGGGATCCCGTTCATAAGTGCAGATGATTGTAAGTTGGATGGTCGTAACTCAAGGACTGTCTGTAAACATATTTCTTCTCCTCACCTCATCTCACTATAAGCAGGTGTTTTTGGGGCCATGTTAAAATATTCACGGCCATTGTCGATGAGGCTGACAGCTTCCTCAAAGTTTCGTTGGGCAATAGCTTGATCCAGATCCTCAGGCAGTTCTAATACCCACTCAGGAGGTCCCATGGAAGGTGGTTGTGACTCTTGGAAGGGATTCAGGCTCTCATCCTCATCAGTAAATGCTGTAATGATGTAGCCAGTTTTTAGGTAGTTGGAAGCAAAGAAAAACAGTTCCCCATACCATCCAAGGTTGCATCACCTGAGTTTCATTATGTTATATGAAATTTAGACAATAAAGCAATTGACTACAAAATAATATACCTATATCAACGGCTGCCTGAAGCAAATTGTCTGAAACACTGTTTACATATAATATGGTCAAGTAATGGATGTCACATTCACATCTAAAACATTTGCAGATTTGTAAAGCTTGGGATATTTAAAAAATCATTATAATATAAATACTTTATCCCCCCCCACACACACACACCAACATTGACAGACTGGCTTATCAGGAGTTCAGGCATTTTCCGTGTCAGTTGATGAGCTAGTCGGCCAGACGGAAATTGTCTAGTCTCTATTTACTTTAGAGACTAGGACAATTTCCGACATTTAGTTGTCCATTAGTATTTAGCAAGGCACACCTGATGAATTTTACGGCAGTAGATTCCATGGGGATATATTGGTAATGTATTCATAAGGTACACAATGAGAGATGAGTTTAAACTCTCCTAATTCAAATACATCTGGGGTTTTCTAAGAATCTATAGTTCTGATATACAGTCTCTCCTCGACTTATGACATATTCGACTTACGACAACCCGGACATACGACTGCCGTGGTCGTATAAAATATTTTCAAAATTATGTATTTTCTAGTACTGAAACATTTCGGTCCCGTACGACAGTGTGGGCTGGGCCGCCTCGTGGTGTACAGCATCCACGCCGTAGCTCGCTCAGTGGTGTTTGGTCGTTGTTGTTGTTAGTGATCGTGCTGTGTATTGACAAAATTTTCGTTTCTAATTCCCTTTAAAATGGCTGACAAGCGTAAAAGTGAGAGTTCTCGTGGTGCTGATAAGAAAAGGAGACAGTCGATTACTTTTGAGATGAGAATGAAAATAATAATGCAATATGAAAATGGAAAAACGGTAGCAACCATTTCACGCGACCTTGGCTTCTCTCACTCGACGATATCAACAATTTTGAAGGACAAGGAACGAATTCATGAGGTAGTGAAAGGATCAGCACCTATAAAGGAACTATAATAATGAAGCAAAGACAAGGTCCTCTTCATGAGATGGAAAAATTACTTGTGATATGGATGGAAGATCAGCTGCAAAAGCGTGTACCGGTACCCTTTAGCCTTCTAACCATACAGGCTAAGGCAAGAAGCCTTTTCGAAAGCCTGAAAGAGCAGGCAGGAGATGAGAGCGACCAAAACTTCACAGCAAGTCATGGGTGGTTCCAAAGGTTTGAGAAACATTATAGTTTCCACAGTGTAAAGGTGAGTGGAGAGGCAGCAAGTGCTAATGTGGGTGCTGCCGAAGCTTTTAAGGAGCTAGATCGTGTCATCGTGGAAGGAAATTATTTGCCTGAGCAAATACAGCTCCTCCCCGACTTACAATGGGGTTAGGGACCCAAATCCAGGTCGTAAGTCAGAATGGTCGTATGTCGAAAATGCTTAAATAATACATAGAAAATCTAAAATGGGGGTCTCTTTTTGTTCTCAGCACCACAAAACTCTCACTTTTAAGCTTGCAAGCCATTTTAAAGTGAATTACAAACGAAAATTTTGTCAGTACACAGCGCAATCACTGACGTTAGGACTTGAAAATACGTAATTTGACAAAATTTTGGTACAACTGAGGCGGTCGTATGTACGGGTGGTTGTAAGTCAGGGAGGAGCTGTATTTAATGTGGATGAAACTGGCTTATTCTAGAAGCGCATGCCAGAACAGACATACATCCACAAAGAGGCGAACACCATGTCAGGATTTAAGGCATTCAAGGACCGAATCACACTTCTGTTTGGGGGGAATGTAGCTTTTAAAAATGTCAGCAAGCACACACTGCCAGTGTTTTAGCGTAGTAATAAGAAAGCATGGATGACCCTAGCACTGTCTGAGGTTTGGTTCCTGAGTTGTTTCATTCCACGAGCCAAGGAGTATTGTCTGCAACAAGGGGTTGCGTTCAAGATTTTATTAATTTTAGATACTGCTCCGGGACACCCACCACACCTGGACGACCTGCACCTTGATGTTAAGGTAGTCTACCTTCCACCTAACACTACCTCTATCATCCAATCCATAGAACAAGGTGCTATTGCTGCTTTTAAAGCGTATTATTTACGTACAACCTTCGCTGTTGCTGCTACTGAAGGTGAGAAAACGCTTTGAGAGTTTTGGAAGGAGTACAACATTTTGCAATGTACAAAGAACATAGCTGCAGCATGGGATGAGGTTACAGGTCAGTGCATGAATGAAATATGGAAAAAGGTACTGAAAAGATATGTGAACAGTTTCAAAGGATTTAATGAAGATGAAGCAATTTCTGAGATTAGTAACAAGATAGTGGAGTTGGGTCAACAGCTGGAGTTAGAAATTGATAATGAAGATGTTGAGCAGTTGGTGGAAAGTGTAGCAGAAGAGCTAAGTAACGAGGATCTTATTGAACTGGATGCACAGAAAATTGTAGAGGAAGAAGAGAGACAAAATGAAGAAGAACCTGCACCCCCAAACGTTTTCAGTGAAACAAATGGCAGAGGCATTTGCTACTATTAATAAGGGGATGCAAATGTTTGAAGAAATGGATCAAAATGTTGAGAGTTTTTCAAAAGTTGACAGACTGATCCAAGATGCACTTGCTTGCTACAGGGAGATTTACAATGAAAAGAAAAGGCAAACTGTGCAGTCTGAATTGGATATATTTTTTAAGAAGTCCCCCACTGCTGTCTCTTCACGTCCCACCACTGCTGCCTCTTCACTCCCTAAAGATGATCCAATACCTTCAGCAATCAAGTATGTTAGCCTGTCTGAAGAAAGCAAACTTGATGACCCACCCAGCCCTGTCTCCTCCTCTGCTTCATCCAATTAATGTAGACTACATGCTTAATTAAAAAATTATTGAAGCCCTGTGTGCATTCAGCTGGCTACATTAAAGGTAAGTTCACAGTAACACTTTATTCATTTTTCATTATTGATTACTTTTACTGTACTGTATTTCATTTTAGAATGTCTATATTTTTTTTTGCTTTTTCGGCTTACGACCAATTCGACCGACGACCTGGTCGTCGGGACGGAACCCCGTTGTAAGTTGAGGAGAGACTGTAGTGTCAAGTGGGGAGGTGGTGCAGACTGTCTCACTTACTACAGTGTCTGGTGTCGGGTGGGGGCCAAAGGAAAAAATTAATATTTAAATGTCAAACTGGCAGGTGACTTGTGGAGTTAGTGGAGACAATCAATATGATAAGTAACCTCTCCGTTTGTCAGAATCCCAGGTTCCCGGAACTCTCTAATAAACAGAATTAAAATTGGCCTTGAATTTTTTCAGGAAACTGTTCTCAATTCTGGGTCTACAAATAAGTTTCTGAGGTTGAAAATCTGGCGCATTTTCTGGAAAAATTCGGAGAAATTCTAGAAACTCTCTCCATTTTTTTCTCCAGGTCTGGGAACAAATTCCAAAGATGAAATAATGTGCAATTTCTGGAAAAATTCTAAGAAAATCTCTATAGTTTTCTGCTCCAGGTCTTGGGACAAAGGTTCCAGGAGTTAAGAAAGATTGATTCATGCTCAGCCACATCCTCACATGCTGGGTGTGTGGGTGGGAAGGCTGCTTGGGTAACGTGGGCCTAGGCTTGCGTGTTGCAATTGGTTAATGCTGTCTTGTGACTGCATGGGATACCTGTGATAGACTGATGCACCTCCCAACTTATTAGATAAGTTAAAAGAGGGGATGAGTGCTGCCACGTCTGGTCGGTTGTTTGGTATAGGTATACAGTAGTGCACTAAGGTAGTATAAGTTGCTATTAGCGGTTTTGCCTGTTCACGCCATTCCTTGGAACCTATCTCCCGCGAATAACAAGGGTTTATTGTACAGTATAGTGTCCACCATTACTTACGATTATTGCTGTCAAGAGAATCTTCTTTACTAAGGGACTGCTGCCGTTCCTTCTGGTGTAGGTGAGCGCGTTCCACTTTTTGTTTGTCAACAGTTACCTTGTTAGCCTTAGTGCGTTCAATTTCATCAAGCCAATCTTGCTAAAAACAGAGCATAGATCATAAATTATTATACTGTATATACAATTTCATGGTTACAGGATTGTAGAAGAACAATTATCTACAAAAACTAATGATACTCAAAGCCCAGTAAAAATACTTCAAGAAAGCTATGGAAGTTGCACTTCTTTACTGTCAGTAAATCACGTTTCATGCCAACAGCTAGAGTGTCAATCATAAGCTTAAGCAATAATCACAAGAAATGAACTCTGCAAAATCAGCACTTTTAGTAACCTTTCTGCATACATTTTGGATAATATCTTTTCATTTAACTTCCATTATACTCTTCCCAATTAACCTCATTCAATATACAGACCCCATATGCCCTTTTAATGTATGAACAGGGCACTCTATCAACCTAGTTCTTCAACTTACAAAATCACAGGTTGCAAATCTGTCATATTTCAAATTTTTCATTTCTAATTCAGAGCTGTACCATACTTAACAGTCTCAAGATATTGAGAGTGACTTCCTGTATTTGAAATGGGTTGGTCATAGCACAGAGTGGAGTCTTAAAATAAGAAATAAAACTAATTACTACACTACTTGTTACAACGGTGAAAAGAAAAAAGGATGCACCACAATGTAAAACAGAATAAGCAGAAAATTAATGGAATCAATAAAATACGGTATACAAAAGATAGAATACAGAACTGTACAACAATATTTTTGAGGATAATTTAAGAATGTTTAGGAGACCACCAATGGAAAAAGAAGTAAAATGGGTAAATATAATCTGCGATACAGTGAACCCTCGAAGATTCGGACCCTGTAAATCTGGATTTTGGAAGATCCGGACAAAATTTTGGGGGTTTCTGGGCCAAGAAGCCTCCCTAACGAGCATTCCCAAAACAGGGTGAAGGTAGTTTTAGGCTTAACGTTTTTATCTTACAAAATGTCAGTCTAAACTTAGCAGAATATAACTTGCATTGCTGGAATCCTTGCAAGATAGCGAATAATTTGAGCACAAACATCATAAAGTTTGCACCAGAGATAAAAATTTTAGTCCTATAGTGCAGTACATTTGAGTACAAAGTGAGTCCAGTAATATGTTGCTCAAAATTCTGGCTATTTCACAGGAAAAAGTCTGTATAACTAAACCCAGTGGTCAGGATAATATGTACTGTATTTTTGGTGTTTTAATATAATTATTAAATTTTTTCATACATTTACGGTAGTACATTCGCCGGAAGATTTGGACAATTGGCTTTTTTGGACAGGTGTGTCTCCTCTTTTAGTCTGGGTCTTCAAGGATTCACTGTATATCTGACAGTCACCAGCTTACTCATATCCATATGCAAATACTGTACATACAAAGAGGCTTCATAAAAAAAGAGGGCTCATGCTGCTGTTTACCTGTACCAGTTTTGCCACTGGATTTGCTTTGAAATAAGACAAAAATTATGCCTGACAATATTCCTAGTGTGTTTTTATTTTGTTTATGAGACAGACTATAGCTAAATCAGAATTTATTCTCTAAACTTTGGCTGGTTACCCAGAAGTGTAGGAATTTGCAAACACCTTACATAAATAAATTGTCACAGGTGATATTTTCTTCTTAAATTCTGGAGAATGTGTTTTTTCCTCTGGGAGAGAAATATTTAGTTTTTATTAAAGCCTTGTAAAAGCATACAGACACATACATAAACACACATGCATGCACATACTCACACATATGTATACAAAACATGCTTGAAGAAATACCAACACACCTACCATCCACTAATACCCAGCAACATCGCTCTATCCACCACACACACAGAATAAACCATCCATACCTTGGCTTTTGCTGCTGGTGCCATGAAGACTCGTGTATCGGGGAAGATGAGCACCTTAAAGGCATTTTTGGTATTGCCTCGATCTTTTATATTTACTGGTAGAACTTGATCCAGAGGGTATAACACTTCAAACTTGTAACGTACTGGACCACGTCTGAATGAAAAAGAGTTTTGGGGCATTATAGATGTGTTGCCCAAGCATAAAATAAGATGCAATGCAGTACAAAATTTTGCTGTCATTGTGGAAGTGGGATGGCTGATATTGCCTACAATACTGTTTAAGCTTTAGGGATACAACTACAAATAATGGCCTCAATGTAAAATGAGCTTAGGTTCCAATCTCTCTGTTTTGACAACTGTTCTCTACCGAAGTTAACATCTTATGGGAAAAATAGTAATCCATTCCTTGGCCCAATAAATTCTTGCATACCTCAGCTAACAAACTTCTCATACAGAAATAAAGGCCTTTAACCCGATACCTGCAACATACATTCTCGAATGATAAGCGAAGGAGTGCGACATACATTCTGGAATTCAGAGCGCTTTGAATGAAGCACACAAAAAAATTTATATCTCGCGGGATCAAGTATGGGATGGTTACACTAGCCAGTTTGTTCAGTCCCCCACTGAGACATACGTTTTCTCTCCTCCGTTTCAGAAACCGAACAAAATCTCATGTTGATGTTGCATATATGTTGGGCTCAAAGATTGAAAACAAACCACAAAAAATTGTGGTTGTTTGGAAAATAACCAGATAGCGAAATTTTGCTACAGGTTAGGTTAGGTTGTATCAATTGGGTAAAACCCAAGAAGCAAAATTTAGTTTTCTGGTTCTTTTGAAAACTTCCACAATGCACTGTGGAAGTTTCGGTCTTTGAGCCCAACATATATATTAAAAATAACGAATGTGTTTGTGTAAGATATATATACTGTACTTACTTATAGCTGAAACATTCAAGATCCACTGAGAGTAATGTTGAAAGCTTCAATTATAATTACATTTAGTTAAATTCTCATATAAGTTCAGTGTTGGGGCAAGCAATAGAGGTTAGAATCCCCTTTCCATCCTATGAGAGACTGGCAGCCAAACTAAGGTAAGTAATGGACTCGTATTTGGTTTCCACTTTCTTCTACATACAGTACAGTACTACTTTTTAATCTACAAGAGTCAAAATAATGTTCGGAGAAAATCGATATCCATTATACTCTCGATTTAATGGACTCCGATGTAACAAACTCTCGATTTAGTGGAAGAAATTTTCTGCGATATTTTTTAGCTCGATTTAGTGAACTAGTTTGCTGAATCGAGATTAATTCCGTTAATACGCTCACATCTACGAAGGCACCTCAGACACATGATATGTACAGTAGCTAAAACAACTATCTGTGCATACTTGTGGGAAACAATATGAGAACATGGACGATAAATTTTGGTATATGAGGGCTGTCACTAGTCACACGTAAAATGTCGGAGCATATCGACCCCCACCTGCACAGACAGTTGTTTTAACTACTTTACATAGAAACATTTGAAACATTATTCATAGCTTACCTTAAACTAGGGGGATTGGTGTTTGTTTTCATTTTTTTTTCTTATTTCCAAACATTTTTCCAATTGATAGCTGCACTCTTTTGACTTTCTCCCCCATACCACTTCTTTTTTGAGACCTCTGTGAGGCTTTTGGCATGATGTCTAAGCACCCTAGTTAGTTGACCGAGAGGTAGACTGAGAGGTAGCAGTGAACAACACACGCGGTGGCAGCAGGATAAAGACTGAGCGGATGTAAACAAATCCCACGCACCAGTAGTAGAATTTAACGGAATAACGCTAGATTTAGTGAACTAGTTTGCTAAATCGAGCGAAAATAACGGAAATTTGATTTAAAGGAAAGGGGTGGCTCGAATTATAGTTTGTTAATCGAGAAAATAATGTACGTGTTTTTTTGTGCACTGGAGGGTTGATCGGTGAATCACTGTACCGCAGTTATCCGGTTAAAGCTCAAAGATGATCATCCTACATTTTTAAAACCTACACTAGCAGCCTATATAAAATCTAACCTCTATATCAACTGTCTCTTACTTGTTCAATCTTGCTAATCAAAGTACTACGTACCCTTGTTTAATCCTCCTACTTTTCCAGTGATGGGTCCACAGAAAACAGAAGACAACTTATTTAATATCTTGCTAAATGACTAACTCACTTTGGAGAAAATAATTGCTACATCCCTCTATATAATCATTACTGTATTACAATAAACATAGCATGACATAGACTTACAACCTTAACAAGATCATTACATTATACTTACCTATCACTTAACCACGAAGCAATCATCAAAGAGTCATTCAGAAGATAACAGTGAATCCTCTGCATGGCAGTGTAATCATCTTGGTTGAGTTCTACTAAATCACCATCAAACACCAAGTAACGGTCTTCTACCTCCATTACATGCTAAAAAAAATACAGTAATTAAAAAGTTGGGGTAAATCTACACCTTTAAATTCAAGAATATAGATACTTGGCCAAGTTCATAAAAAACATCTTTCTCGTTTTGTCACTTGAAACCATTCTAGAAAATTGTTAAGATGGTCAAAGGAAGTTTCATAAATACAGTTCACGCCATTTATAAGCCACAGAGACTGGCAGCCTTGAAATTCCTAACCAGCAACTTCGCTGGGTCCATTCCTACCCCACCTCCGGAAACACACAAACCAGGCAATTAATTGGTGTTTGCCAAGGTGTAAAGTCAACGCTTACCCCCAAGCATGTTAGTATGGTTAGGTTTTATAAATGTTAAGTTAATACAGTTTTAAAGTTATTTTTCCATGCTAATGTATTTAAGGGTAAGTGTTAACTTTACACTGGAGCTTAAAGTTTTGAAAATTCAATTTTGCTCAAAATCTCGAGAGCAGGTATGGGTGCAGAAGTGCAGATTGAAATTATGAAATTCTTAATTACCAATAATTTGGGACAACTAGGACAATTAATAAATATTTCAACATTTCGACCACAGATTTTTTTAAAATTAACCCCTACGCCCCGGTTGACATTCCGGAACGTTCAGTAATGCATGCCTTTTCGAGGCATTTGTAGCTAACCATATTTCTGCTAGGCCACACCTCTCATTTCTCTATATACTGTACACAACAAATAGTGTGGACAAGTTTGGAGACTATTTGTGTGTTTTTGTGTACTTGTCACAGGTGTATACGTCATTACCACAAGAATAAAGTTGGATGTTGTACATCTGAATTTTTTCAGCCCAATGAGATCCAATGTTACAGCACATATACAGTATTATGATTCATAATTTATGATATCTGAGGTCTGTGCTTAAATAAAAATATATGAAATACTCTGGAAACAAAAAAAGCTTTTAAAGTATACACTGCAAATTCATAAAAACTGCTTACCGAACATCCTTCAATTTTTTCCAACAGGCCTGTCAGTTTCTTTCTATTCTCACGTTCTCGTTTTTCCCGTATCTCATGTGGGTTTACCTCTATTATCTCTTGAGCAGCGCTGCCGGGTCCTCTCTCTCCTGAAGACATAAGAACACTGAATAGAGTACTGTAGTTTGTTTGCACAGTATTTGTAATACCAAAAACATGCATAAAATAGAATTTCTGTGGTGTACAGTACAGAAATATTAATAGTAAGAGGTATGAAATTATTATGAACACAAAGCTGAGCAACTTCTTGGATAAACATAATACAGGTATTGAATACTACAATCTTCACCTAATTTATTCTACTACTGTACACTGATACCATTATGTATTTCAGATCACCTGAAGAATCTCCACCCTAGCTTATTTCACCTAAAGATTAAACATCCTAATGCTAACTTACCCAAACCTAATCTCATCCCCCTAAATACAGTAGTGTTGTAGTGGTTAATCTTTACATGAACAAGCTGGGGTGGAGATTCTTCGAGTGATCCTACTTTTATGTCTATCTAACTTCCATCAAACACTATACCCCAAGCACAGCAAGACTAACAAAATATTTTAATAAACAAATCATTCTCAACCCCTTGTGTGTGTGATACAGAGGATATTAATAAATATGTTTATGTGGCACTTTCTCTGTGTCTGTGTACTATACTTAGCTAATCAACTTTGTAAAATAGCTAGAACTACCTAAAAGACTCTTTCTCCATATCTATAATCTTCTATCCCGTACATGCTTAGCTTGTTACACATTTTCAGATGTCTAAATTAATTTTTGCTTGTTTGTAGAATGGTGTACTTCAGTATAATGGATCCTGGACTAGAGTGCTAAATCATAATTAAGATGAGGTATTCCAACATTAAACTGCATCAAATCTTAAAACTTTAAGACTCACAGGATAAGATTACATGCACCTTTAATTAATACTGTACTGTATAGAAAAAAGATATAACACTGATCTTGATCTTTGTTAAACTCACTATATTCAGACCCAAAATAACAAAGTGTATTGACTTTATCATGCTCACAGCCATGATAAGTTATGAGAATAATCACTGTGGAATAACTTACCTGTAACAGACAGCTCAAGTAGGGAAGTTAAGAGAGATTTTTGTTCTGTGATAAGGTGAGAAAGTTGGTACATCTCACTCTCAAGATCTGGGTGTAAAAGAAGAAAAAACATAAAATATCATTATCATTGCCATTTGGCAGCCATTTACCGTACTTGCAAGGGTTAGCTATGATTACCTGATGGTAGTTAATCATGATTAACCCATTTCATAATACTGTACTGTACAGTACCCTATCTCAATATTATTCTTTGTCATTCTACATGAATGAGTCTCTTAATTTTGGCCATTTTTTGTCTTCGGCAACATTTCTCATAATGATGGATGTCTTTAACTATGGCTATACTGAAGCTCACAAGTCTGTTAAAACATTTTCAATTCAAACATATTAAGTACGTACAGTACTATACTGTACCGCAATTTATCCTTTGAGCTTCCATTCTCTTGACTATCGGCAATCTTTCATTAAGGTATTTACTTTAGTTGCCTTCATCCTTTTTCGCACTCTAATATCTTAGTTTCTAAGAAAGGAAGACTGAGGACAATAGACTCATTATCTAATAAAAATTAGACATCACAATTCAGTGACTGCCTTAAAGAGTTACTGTTGGGCCTTCAGCACAAGCATTTTGAGATTCAGACCCAAATTTGGTTCTAGATCAAGTCTGCTAAAGCCATGGGAAATTTTTACAATTACAGTTTTGGTGATACAGATGTACTCCATTAATCGACGCATTTAGGAACAGGGAAAAGTAGTTGGTTAGTGAATCAACAGTTATCGAAGCAATTAATCCCATAAGAATATAACAAATACAGGGAATTAGGTACCGGCCACCCTCCCAAAAGTTCTATCTACCCTTGATATATCTTTGTCATGCAGTGTCACGCAAGAAAAGAAAGCAGACAGAAAGCAAGCATAATAAGCCTTAAATAACCAATGTAAAGCTTTAACTGACAGTTATTTACCTGTGTTAAGGATGGTGGAGACAGTCTAGGGTGGCAAGTTCAAATCTCTACCACTCTCTGCTGGTCCATCACCTTTCTTATTACACCTTATTATTACTTATCACATAACACCAAGCTGCCCAGCACAAAAGGAACTATCACTGGAGCGTTTAGGCATGATTGATTAACACACTAAGTCGGAAATAAATAAAAAAAAAACACGAAGTCAGAGACACATAGTTAAGTGTAAACAAGAACAAAGATGGTGGGAATAAGTCATGGCAGTGTGCAGAGCCCTCTTGTGGCAAGAATTTGCTCCACGCCACCGCCCACTAAATTTAAAACAGCTCTGCCATTCCTCTCCCAATCGTCGGATCTTCAGGGCATTAACAAAACTTGCAGGGTATATTTCTCCTATATGACAAAGTAATCGTTGGTTATGCGAAGTGGCGGTTAACAAGACTTCAGTTTTCGAGGTACAGTACACCTGTATTGTTATATAGAACCCCACTCACCCAGCCAATGAAATCTCCTAAAGACATAGTGTCTAGACCCTAAACCTTACATCCATCTAGGTGTTACAGGTACACCACCAATTTTCCGGCACCCTTGGTTCCAAAGCCTTGCCGGATTATCCATTTTGCCTGACCAACCGAGGTCATAAAATAATAACTCAACAATACACCTCTGACCCACTAATTATACACCTCCTGTGTCTCTAAAGCACCATGGACTGCTAGAAACTTAAATTCAACAAATATTATATGTAAATTAAATGTAAAAAAGCAATAATTTTGAGCAACATATTAATGTACAGTAAAAGTCCAAAAATCCGGATGCCAGAAATCCGGACCACCCAAGAATCCGGACCTTTAGGAAATTCAATTTTTTTTTTAGTGGGCTTTTGTGTGTATGTGCGCATGCGTGAGTGCCGCAGCTGCACAGCGACAACAAGCGACCACGCGGTCGCCACTTTAAAACGAGCAATCAAACTGTGACAACGTATGTAATTTTGAGTCCTACTCTTTTCATTTACAGAGTACTGTACTGTACAAGCCCATAATAATGGCTCCTAAAGTAGATAAACTTCGTTGTGTGAAGAGAAAGACGAACACGTTGAAATTGAGTGACAAACTTGAAATAATTAAGAAACTAGAACATGGTGTGAGCAATACTGTTCTAATGGAAACATACGACATTGGAAAGTCTACAATTTATGATATAAAAGAGGCAAAGAATAAAATTCTAGAATTCACAGCTTTTTCCTTAAAACTGCTCGTTTTGATAAATGAAGCATGCTATATTTGCTAATTAATAAACTATCAAAATGTACCTGTTCATCTCTTCTTTATTCCTCCTTAAATTTAAATTTTAAAAGTACTGCCTGAGAATCCGGAAAATCCGAAAATCCGGACCAACCCAATCCCCAAGCAGTCCGGATTTTTGGACTTCTACTGTACACACTTTCTACTCAAATGTACTGCACTAAAGGACTAAAAATTTTATGTCTAGTGCAAACTGTTGGATGTTTGTACTTAAATTAATCACTATCTAACAAGAATTCCAGCAATGCAAGTTATATTCTGCTAAGTCTAATAAGTGACATTTTACAAGACAAAAACTTTAAGCCTAAAACTGCCTTCACACTGGCTGGGAGGAGGGGGGGGAGGTGAGGTGTTGACAGTTGCTGGGGAGAAAACAAAGTGCGTATTTATCAAATAGAGGGAGTTAAGTTTGGTGCTTATAAAATGTCACTGAATTGACTTGCCAGAATATAACTTATATTGCTGGAATTCTTGTAAGATAGTGATTAATTTAAGTACAAACATCCCACAGTTTGCACTAGACATAAAATATGGCAGGGAGGGAGGGACGTTAAGTGCCCTCTCGTAATATTGTCCGGATTAAAGGAGGTGCCGGACCGTCAGTTCCTGGAAAATCGGTGGTGTACAATGAAAGACAAAAGTCGTGTCATGAAATTTGGTGAAAACATATGCCGAAGGGCTAAACTTTTGGTGCGCTCTGCCTTGTGATAGGGCTCTCATAATATTTCACGAGTTATATTTAATCTTAGGACAAAACCGAGACACGACTTTTGTCTTTGATTGTACCTGTACTTGTATATGGGTTTGTAACAAGAGATAACCATTTTGTTTTATGAAGTCTGGAGTTCAATTTTTAATAATGATAAATAAATACAATGGGAATATTATTATGGCACATAGGCATGGCATTAATTTTCATTTCCTCAAATTACATTTAGTTTGGAAAAAATATATATAGTATATACGGTATATATATAAAACTTATAAGGAAAGAAACTTATCAATAGATGGCATTTTTGTGGAGTCTTTAAATAGACAAAATAAAAAGTTGTGAGTAGGACAGGACACAAGAAAGGAGTAAAATTATGAAAGAAAAAGACTAATACTGTACTGTACTGTACTGTACTGTACATACTGTACTGTAACAGAGAAATTTAAAAGTGTGGTGAATTCAGTCTGCATGGCAGGGACTGAATGACCCATCCAAAACAGCAATGCTATATTGTTAGACATATGAATTTTTTTTAATTTATTAAGAAATGTAAAAGAATTGGTCACAGGTTATTTAGTGTCTAATTATCTTATTCCTTGTGGTACTATAAAAACGGGATGCACGAGTAAATTTGTTCTGAGAGAGTCATTTAGTCTGTAAGTCATAGGACTACCTAAAATGTCCAAATACAGTACTGTATCCTGTAACTACTCAGGGTAAGTTTGAATTGTAAATCATATGCTTTTAAGCAAGGCAGAGTATAAGTAAATTTTGATGAACTGTACATAGTTTATAAAATTGCAAAAGAATTACTACATATTAACTCACATGAAATTTCTTTAGCAGTGTCTATGAACTGCATGTAATTCATATAAACATTCTTCTTAAGTTGAGCATTAGTTTCCTCTGCCAGATGTTGAATCCTCTGTCTCTGCTGCCGTAACTCCAAATCCCCAACACTACTATGACTGAGATCTTGAACATCTGCACAAAAAATGATCTATTAATACAGTACCTCACACAAGTATATATAAAACATTCAAATAAACAGTAAAATAAAATTTCCCATGTAAAAATTAAAACATCATCATCTTCATCAGATTCACATCGTAATACCTTTTATGTAGGTTAGATCAGTTTGCATGACATAACTTCAATCTACTATCTCTTAAGTTACCAAAGTAAAATAAGCCGTCTAGGTGCAGAAATACGTCAACTTTTATAAGATCTAAAAAGTAATGATATAAGTATTTTTTTATTTTTTATTTTTTCTTATTTATAAATCACCTGTAGTGGATAAGGGGAAATGGCAGGGTAAAACATGGTGAAAAACTGATCATATGTCACTAAGTGCTTTATATGTGAAGAAATTATTATTATTTTTTGGTAACTTCTCCTCCAAAAAATCTGCCAAGTCACCACATTCGTTTATGTTTACAACCAAACCGCTCAGTCTGAACGTACTCTCAAAATCACAAAGAAACATAAAATTACATCATGATGCCCCCTCAGCTAGGAAGTTAGGTAAGGCTACGTAGGTTTCTTTGGTTGGTTGGTTAGGTCAAAGAAACAACTAAAAATAATTTATTCTATAACATTTCCATTGGAAATGTAATTTTTTTTTGTATTTTACCGATAGAATTACCCTCAATATTAATTGTTCAAAGTAGGCTGCACTTTGAAATAGAAGAGAATATGTGGGGTAAAACACCAAAAATGCAGTTGATATTTTACCATGAATGCACTCTGATTGGCTAATTGTCCATTACCGAATGAACAAAACAGCAAAATATCCACTACGTTCATTTTTTCTGGAGATGTTGTTTGGATGATAGTTGGAAAATAGAAATGACCATGCACATGTTAGGAAGTTAAGTGAGGTTGGGTAGGTAGGTAAGTGAGGTTGGGTAGGTAGGTAAGTGAGGTGTGGTGTGGTTAGGTTAGGTAGGGTTCTAATAGGTTCTGTGCACTACCGTTTGGATATGATTAACCAATCAGGGAGCACTCACGGTAAAATAGCATTAGCAGGAACTTAGCCGGTCATGGCAAAATATCCACTGCAAACTAAAAATAACACCAAACAAGCCATTGAAAACCTTACCAAACCTTTCTTCACATAAAATTGTTAAGAACTGCTTTTGAGTTTATTGATCCCTCCTCATCTGAACACCGAAAACACCAACACACTCTGAACACCGAAACCATGAATAAGGTAAGCGTCTACAGTTTTAGGATCTTTAAAGGTTAGATAAGGTTTTCAAAAGTTTATTTGGTGTTTTTGGGGGAGGTATTTCACCCCACATTTTCCCTCAACTTCAAAGACTTGCCCACTTTGAACAAACAATAACAATGGTAATTTTGTTGGTTAAAATACTCAAAAAATATTGAGGTATTATTTATTTTAGGACATAGCGCGCCCGAAAGTTATAAACTACTGAAACATTTAGATCTCCCTATTCTGAGCATTTTGAACCCCATATATACCAGGCAGAAATGGATAATAGCGACACAATTTAATTTAATTGATTTTACGTAGTTTTTAATCTTCCTCTTTGTGAGGAGATGTTATCAGCGCATCACGCATGCGCAATATTGACTGACATCATCCAGTCGTGACCAATGATGTATCGATATCATCACGCAATTTTTTTTTACCAATCACATGATTTTTTTTCAAAGCAAGCAGCCTACGATTTTAATTTCATTGACCAGTCTCACATGGCCGTGGTGGAGGTTGGTTTTTATTTGAGCTCCTATGATTATTTTAAGTTTATTGCCGAGTTTTACGAGAAAGTCGATCATTTTATCCAATTCTTACATATTCCTGGTCCTTCTATTTCTAACTAAGGTATTGTACTTTCGGACATGATGCGTCCCAAAGTTTTAAACTACTGAAACATTTAGATTAGTTTAAGCTAGGTCTACCAAGGGTCCGGGGGCAGAGCTCTCTGGCTAGGGGTTAGGTTAGGTGACTAGTTTTCGTTTTCTCCCCCATCCAAAAATCCCGTACAGAAAAGAGTACAGAAAGCTAGAGGCTAAACACTCTCCACAGCTCTTATTTACTCATGGTATAGGGATAACATGGGTCCTTTATTTTACAGCTTCCTTGACATAACATTATCATGACTCCTGAGGTAAGGGGGGCGGATACCCAACATATCTTATACATCCTCCAACGTAAATTTACTCCATATACACTACTTATGATCACGTAGATTTACCTCTTTGCCTAATTATCCATCACTACCAATGACATTCGTTGGAAGAAGGTTTAACTCACATCTTTCAGCGTTATAATCCTCAGCTGTCAGTTTCTTCACTAACAAGTCTGCCATGGTTGTTTACTGTGACGTCATCACCTCCATAGGGGAAACGTCGCTAAAAATTAAATTAAAAAATTTTTTTTAATAATAAGTAAAGTAGTTTTGACATCTTTTTAACTATTAATTTTGGTTTTCGATAATTTACACTACATCGGATTAAAACTGATATTTCGAAAAAAATCGACTGTGCTGTGATCCCATGTTAACTACCCAACAACATTTGACGCTATTTTCCTCGCTATTTGTCAATTTGCAAGCCTGTTGTTGGACGTTCTGTTACTCAGGGAATGGTTCTCTTGGCTAACGAACCAATAAGTGGGGAAGAGGATAAAAGTAGAGTGTGACTGTACTGGAACTTGTTTGTACACGTACTGGAAAAGTCACTTAAATGCTCACAGCTCAAACCCTCACCTCTATTGTCCAAATAGTTTCCTTAATTGTAACTTTAACTTGTGGATAAGGAAATCGAGGTCTAGCTACTAATAAGGCAACGGGATAAACAACGAGGGTATGGTGGGCAAGCGGGAACCACATCACAACGTTGGGTTGTCCTTCAGATTTAACTGTTACTTCAAAACCAGACCAAGGATACAATATTGCTTTTACTTTACTTTTATCCTCTTCACCACTGATCGGCTCGTTAGCCGCTTGGGTGATCGGTCACGTCTCTGTCACGCACTGTTGGCAAGTATTGGGCATGCACCGGCTCCTGAATGTACCTGAACCCGCTCCAGTGTTGGTCAAGTCTTGTCTTGAAAGAGCTCACACTCGGTGCTGTCACAACACTTTCTGGTAGATTGTTCTAAGAGTTTACAACTTTCACTCCGAAAAAGTTTACCCTCAGTTTTCTGGACTTGCGGCTTCTTCAATCTTGAGCTGTGGCCCCTTGTGGGGCGAGCGTCCGCCATCTCCAAGTAAGGACACTCAACTGAGTAGTGCCCCCTGAGATACTTATACACCTCACTTAGGTCACCCCTTGCCCGTCTGTAGTATAAGCTAGGCAAGTTCAGGCGCTCCAATCTCTCAGGGTAGTTGAGGTGCGGAAGGGCAGGCACCAGTCTGGTGGCCCTCCTTTGAACATTTGTGACTGTGCCATTAATCACCACACACTGCTTGCGGTCATGCAGAAAGTCTTCTATCCACGTTAAGACATTTCCCCGAATTCCGTACCCTTCCAGTTTGATTTTCAGCCTTTCGTGGGGTACACTGTCGAAAGCCTTGGCAAAATCTAGGTAAATATTGTCGATATTACCACCCCATTCCAGAATATGGGTAAAAATATCCAATGCCTTGAGCAATTGTGTTAAGCAGAAGCGCCCCGGCATAAAACCATGTTGGCGATCCTTTACAAGGTTGTTTCGTAAAAAAGGTTCCATTGCGGCATCTCTGATAATACTCTGAAGCACTTTACATATTATGCTGGTCAGGCTCACCGGTCTATAGTTGTTCGTGGAGTGACGATCGCCCTTCTTGAAGATAGGACTCACATAAGCCACTTTCCATTCACTGGGGACCTTTCTTTCATCTAGACATTTACAAAACAGTATCTTCAGGGGCTCTGCAAGCTCGTTGCTCAACTCCCTTAGCACTCTAGGATGCACCATGTCAGGGCCAGGACTCTTATGGACCTTTAGCCTGGACAGTTTATTTCTAATACCCTCCTCTGTGAACACGATGTGGGTCAGTGCTGTGTAGAACTGTCTGTCCTCAAACGCAGGAAGGTTAATCACATCCTCTCTTGTGAACACCGAGGAAAAGAAGCTGTTCAATGACTCAGCTTTATCCTGGTCAGAATCTGCATAACTATCATCTTCAAGTCTCAGGTTTGATATTCCTACTGGCATTTTTAATTTTGACTTTGCATAGCGGTAAAACGCCTTTGGGTTTGACTTGACCTCGCTTGCAACCAGCCTCTGGAACTCCTTTTCAGCCCTTCTACACTCTATCTTTGCTTGGTTTCTGGCTCTTGCATACATCCTCCTGTCCTGCTCATCATTTGACCCAACCCACGTCTTGAATTTCTGGGTTTTCTTCTTAACTTTGTTGACCACCGCGTGGTTCATGTGTAGGGGTCCCCTCGTATTCTTAGAGGCACTGGGTTTGATCTTGGGTATGAATTTATCGATCAAATGGGTCACTTTACTAGTTATGATATTCAGCGTAGTGTCTGCGTTCTTGTGCTTTAATGAGTCAGGCCAGTGGATACCCCTCATCTCTTGCCTCATCCCGTTGTAATTTCCCCTGTAATATTTGCACCTTGGCCTGACCTTATCTTGAACTAGGTAACAGTTAAATCTGAATGACACTATATGGTGACTGGTGCCAACTGGGGCAAGGTGTTCCAGTTTGGTCACCATGTCCTCCTCGTTTGCTATGATGAGGTCTAGTGGCCTGGGTGTTTGCTCTCCTCTGTAATGTGTCGGGTCTCTAACATGTTGGAACAGAAAATTATCTCTCAGTTTCTACATAAAGAGTAGCAGGGTTATTCAAGTCATTTGGGGTGAACTCGTTTCTCCAGTCGATGTCGCCATAGTTAAAGTCCCCCATGATAAGGTGGCTAGGGTTGAGCATCGCCGCGTTGTCTATTAAGGCTCGTAAGTGCCTTTGATTTAGTGGGTCACAGTTTGGGGATATGTAGATACACCCGACAATAATTACGTCCCTTCCCTTAAATTTAATTTTACACCACTTGGACTCCTCACAAACATCCTCTCCCTGTACCCTCACTTGGCTGGCTCTAAGGTCTTTAAGTGCCTTTGATTTAGTGGGTCACAGTTTGGGGATATGTAGATACACCCGACAATAATTACGTCCCTTCCCTTAAATTTAATTTTACACCACTTGGACTCCTCACAAACATCCTCTCCCTGTACCCTCACTTGGCTGGCTCTAAGGTCTTGCCTAGCATAGGTAACCACACCCCTCTTGCAAGTTTCTTGAGAAAGGTTCGTAAATAAGTCATATCCAGCAATACTGAAATCACATTCCTCTGGGTCGATTCTCCTGTTCTTGTACAACAGTTCTACAACTCCTACAATATCTGGTTGGTGTACTTTCAGTAGTGTTTCAAACTCCTCTCTCTTATCAAGAAACGTGTCAGTATTAGTGTACATGACATTCAAGCCAGACTTTGTTTCTCGGTAACGTCTCTGCTCTTAGTAGTAACTCCGCCCCCCCCCCCTCCATTCTCAGAAGCTGCAGCATTTGCTAAGTACACTGTATTTTGCAGGGCGTGGTTAGAAATGTAATTGTTTACACGGCGCTCGCCTCCTCCTGTCTGGTAGGCGTAGCTGGTGCCACCTCCCAGGTGGGGGGTAGAGCGGGTGGCGGGTGCGCTGCTGCCCCTGGCCCTGTGTCGGCACACTTGATTCCACTACCCTAGCGACGTAGTACCAAAACGTTATGCAGGGCGACGTTATACGAGGACTTACTGTACTACTGTATACTTTTCCTTTCATATGGTCACCTCATTGCTCCTTGGATATAATAGATGGATGGATAAAGATGAGAGTGAGGTATAATGGTTGGGCTGAGAAAATAAATTTGCTTGTATTGAATACTGTACTGTACTGTGCAGTATATTGTTTTCAATTCTTGAAGTGGTTTCTACCCTACCCTCTTTTCCATCAAAAACATCTCTAAAGCATCATGCTGCGTACAGTACTATCTAGGAATTATTTTCGAAGTAATAAATGATTACATTGAGAAAAAGATGATTAAGAGTAGAAGTAAAAAGAATGGGAAGGTTTTCTGTATGCATATACAGTGACCCCTCGTTTAACGAACACCTCGTTTAACGTAATTTCGATTAACGAACTGCCTTCCATAAGGACCTTCAATTCGGTTAACGAAGTTCTTACGAACCGACCTCAACATGTTTTCGCTTGCACTGACCGGGCAACCAGCTTTAGTATCAGTCCGCCAATACATTAATCGGTTCTAGGGCTTAAATTCCTTACTATTTTAGTAAATATCAAGAAGTTTATACTATTCAATAATTTTAAAAGTTTAATATTCAATTTTTAGTCATTTTAACAATTATTGAACATAATTGAAGGTAAAGTGACTAGTTTAATGCGCGGCATCCAGCCTCTTAACACAGCAAACAGGAGTTAGTCTCTCTCTGTTTTCACTGGAGGTAACATCTTGCTTGAGACTCTCTTCAACTAAATGCTTTTTTTCTGTTTCCAAGCAAATTATTGGTCATTTTGAAATATATTTTACATATTGACAATATATAATGCAGGGCAGTGTTGACTTAAAGAAAATAATCTTGAATTACACCAGAGAGCTAAAATTTTATGGGTGAAATGACGCCATGGGGTGACTTCTCTTCCACCCCAATGCCTTCTCTTCTTCCTTCTCCTCCACCCCCATTCTAAATCCCATCATCATCATCATCCAGGAGCCTTCTACATACACACCTCAAAGTAAGTGAACTTTTCTACCATTTTTGTTGAATTTAGGAAATTTTCGGTGAGCTGGAACCAATTACCCAAAAACCCATTGAAACAATGGTTTCGGTTAACGAACGACCTTCTGGAACGGATTGAGTTCGTTAACGGAGGGGTCACTGTACTGTACATGACAAATAGTTACAATGGTATCTTTGTAGGTTTTAATATAAACAAGTTTAGTGGGGAAATTCTGAGGAAGAGATAATTCAAACCCAAGTTTAAAAATAAATTTAAAGTTTAATATACACATAAAGTAGTGTTAAGTAAAAAAATTCTTCCATTATTTTTTTTTGGATCCATTTACAGAGTATTAACCAATTTTTTAAAACCTTACCAAAATCTTAAGTCCTTCTATTATTTGATCTGATATCCTTCCAAAAACAGAAAAATTTACAATTTAGTCTCCAATCACAAAACCATAATTATTCATAAGGTAGTAATCATATATAAATAAAAATAAAAAGTCTCCTATGGACATCAACAGATTTTTTTTAGCCAAAAGGCACACATACAGTATACTAGAAAAACTCGTAATACCACATTTATTATGAAGCAAAGATTATAAAGTGCA